AAATTACCTGCCATAATCCAAAGTTCTAGAAGGCTCCCAGACACATGTAGAGTTCTGCGGAAGGATAGGGATACTCAATGAGATACTATATGCTTGCATTTTGAAGCAGCCCTTACATTTTGAACCTTGCATCAAGGATTGGGGCTAAAGTCTCTGAACAAAAAATCAATGTAGGCAGGAAGGATCTTTTTTATGATAGGCTTGTTATGGGCTTCCAGTCTCTGACATGGTTATTTTAATGCTGTTAGAGATACTTATATTTCGTATGTTTAAATATAGGTTCATGGGATAGACATTTATTTATTTATTTTCCCCACTGGGATCATAATTTTTTTCCCTTAAGGTTAAATATTTAATCTTGATACTTGATTAGAAGCTAGTTTCATGTAAGCTAATGTAACCATTAAAAAAAGGTAAAGGACCCCTGACAGTTAAGTCCAGTCGCAGACGACTCTGGGGTTGCGGTGCTCATCTCGCTTTACAGGCCGAGGGAGCTGGCGTTGGTCCTCAGACAGTTTTTCCAGGTCATGTGGCCAGCATGACTAAGCCGCTTCTGGCACAACGGAACACCAAAACCAGAGCAGCGCACGGAAATGCCATTTCCCTTCCCACCAGAGCAGTACCTATTTATCTACTTGCACTTTTTGGTGTGCTTTTGAACTGCTAGGTTGGCAGGAGCTGGGACCGAGCAACAGGAGCTCACCCTGTTGCAGGGATTCGAACCGCTGACCTTCTGATCGGCAAGCCCAAGAGGCTCAGTGGTTTAGACCACAGCACCACCCACGTCCCTAATGCAACCATTAGCCTCCTCCAATAAAATGCAGACTTGGCCTCTCAAACTCTGGCCAAATACTGTTTTCCTCTATCCTTAACAAATTGGGGTGTGGGTTGTTTTTTATTATTTTATTATTTTATTTTTGCTCTGTGATGGAGCACACACATCATATGCAAAGGGTCCTTGGTTCAAACCCTGACATCTCCAGTTAGGGCAAGAAGGAGAGCCTTTGCCAGTCATTGTAGACAATGCTGTGTTAGATGGACCAGTGGTCTATGTCTCAGTATAGAGTAGTTTACTGTGGTCCTAAAAATAAATCTCACATGCATAAAACTTACCTGCCAGTGGTGAAGATGCAGAATAAGGCCAACTTCAATCAAGTAGCCTTTGTAGGTTGCTTATTTCTCGCACAAGTGGCCCCGTCCATCACACCGGTGGATGAAGTTTGCACATCCACGTAAAAGTAATCTTTTGCATGATAATGGATGTGAAGTTGGAGTCCCTGCTCAGCCTCCAAATACAGTTGATGAGATTTTCCAAGTTCCTTTGACTTTTAATATGCACCTTAATTATTATTTTTTTAAAACCCCAAAATTTCCTTGTTTGGAAAACAGCCCTGTTTAGTTCAGATTGTAGTTCCTCAAAAAAGTTGCTGCTTATACATTCGAGTTACATGCCAGATGCATCTTACCCTATTTGTATTAACAGCTATGGTCTGAAAGATGCACTTCATCACTTGTCAGCCAAGGAGAATCTTGGTCAGTTTTTCCTAGGATAAACGTTGCATCCTTCCTGCAAGCATAGACTCTTCCGCACTAGAAAACCATAAAGTGGCAATGTTGGACACATCGTGAGTCAATTCCTCTTGCTGGAAATGGGAATCCTTCCTCAAGCTTCCTTATTCAAAGAACTGATTGCACTTGGATATGCTGAAGAAGCCACCCGGATAGTATTCCAGCCGTGCTTGTGTAACTTGCTGTTAAGCAACCTTCACTGATGATGCTTCTGCACCACCTTAGGACTTCTCGATTAGTGATCCGCTACACTTACAGAGCTAAGAAAAAGGAGCAGAAAATGGAAGAGATGATGCCCAGGTCCTCCTGGATGCAGCCTCTGGAAAAGGTTCTGCAAACAATAACAATAATAATAACAACCATGCAGTGTTATTTTCATACTGTAGAAACACACTGGCCTGTTGATTGGTTATGTTTGCAATTCAGGCAGATAGGAAACAAAGGCTTTAAACCATAATTGATGAGTTTCAAGGATGTGCTCACTCGACTTCTGAACATCTCTCCTGCATAGTCCCAATGACGAGACCTTACTCCTTCTGTACTTATGTCCCGCAAGCATCCTCACAAAATCCATTTAGACTTACGTGGATGGACAGCGGACTTTCCCTTGTTCCATCTTGTTGGCTTTTTTGAATGTTATACAGAACTTAAATCCGATGAAAAGTCTCCTGGGAAATGGTAAGAGGTCCTGATGCTTGTTCATGTGCCCCATGTCAATTAGGAGGGACGGGGAAACAGGAGCAGACCCACATGCAACAAGTGCTCTGTCTGATACCATTTTGCTCCAGATTCACAGTTCATTTGGAATTGAAACATGGTGGAACTGCCCATTTGGCACCTGGTAACTTCTGGGTGGTTTTGTTAGGACAGCCTTCTCCATCCTGGTGCCCTCAAGAAGTTGCTGGGCTCCCAGCTCTCATCAGCCCCTGCCAGCATTGCCAAAGGCAGGCGGTGGTGATGGAAGTTGTAGTCCAAATCATCTGGTGAGCACCAGGTTGAGGGTGCAGGTTGATTCTCAAAGTCTGAAGCATGCATAATTAGGGTTGCACTTACTTGGAAGGTACTGGAGAGATATTTAGTACAGACTGGTTTGGCATGGGGTCCACATGGATGAGAGAAGAGGAGAAATGCTAGTAGCTGCTGAAAGGGATGGGGGAAAAGTGACACACAGAGCCTTTTGGGTATAGCAAAGCATTCGCTAACCCATTAACACTGGCAAAGTAATTGCGTTCCTTTACAAAAAGCCAGCCCTGCCTAGGACCATTTCTCTGTTTTGAAGATCAGTCTTTAGGACCTGGATGACTTGCCCAGAGTGCCTCTGGGGCCTTGCTTACACGACACATCAACATGCAGTAATACTTCTTGAATGTCCATTGCCCAGTGATTTGGTGGGGGTGTTCCAATTCTTATTGTTTTATACAGCATCAACACTATGTAATAAATGAAAACGGTCATTCTGAACATGTTTACGTTCAGGAGGATAATCGGAACCTGGAGTAACTTGAAAGAGTCACCAGATCCTGGTAACAAGTAGAGTGGGTTTTTCATGCCGGTCTTAATTAATCACCTGTGGTTTGCTTGCTTGATCTTGAAGGGGACATACCCTGGCACGATCAGCCTCTGATCGCACCTAAAAATAAGAGGACAGCAAGTTCTTTTGATGGAGCTCTCTGATCCCTAGGAAGCTGTGGGCGACCCATGCTGGTCAGCAAGGGTATGTGGCCAAACTCCCTTGAAGTGCTGCGTGTGCATGTAGGGCAGGCAGAGTCATACCACTGACGTAGCATCCTGATTCTTGCTTTTTAAAAAAAATAGTCTTAGGACCTATGGGCTGCCTTAAACCTGGTCTCCAGTCGGTGCCCTGGTTCTGTATTATTTGTTATGTCCATTAGAACCAATTCCTTGGTTTTACGGTCCCTTTGCGCATAATAAGAATGAAAATCCAGTGGCTCTGACTTCTGAAAAAGCGGAAAGTTCATTTTATACTTTTCTGGCTGCCACTGGAAATGGGATGTCTGACTAGATGGGCTTGGTCTTATTTCTGTAGGCCTTCCAGATGTTGTTGGACTCCAGCTTCTGTCAACTCTGGCCAGTGGTCAGAGATGATGGGAGGCCGAACCCGACAACATCTCGAGGGCCACAGGTTTGCCACCCTTGCTTTGGGGTTCTTAGTATGCCACACCCTGCTTCTTGGAGCTACTATAGATGGCAGGATGAATGCAACCAGTCTTCTTCCTTACTGAAAAATGTTGGGGGAAAGAATTTGAGTTTCCCTAGCTTGAAGGCTGGCAGCTTAAAAGTAGCCCTTTCTTTATTCCAAATTACAATAACAGGGTCCTCTTTTTAGTGGTCTGTTTAAATCTGGGCATGTATAATAATTTATAAGTAGTAGATAATAATATATAGCCTGAAATGACACAGTGTGTAGGTCACCGATTTATTCCCATTATGCAGAAGAGTTACTGAGGCCGAGAGGTAACACAGCACTGAAGGCCATCCAACATGTCCACAGATGATCTGAAATTCAAACTCCCATGTCCCAGATCCAAGACACAGGCATTTGCCACTGGAAGAATGCAATTTCCCAAATGACATATGCAACCATTTTATTTTTTTTAAAAAAAATATGTGTGAGACAGTATGACACTTAAAACACGAATTCTGGCCATCATGTCATTGTTTCCTGAAGCTCTGGGTCACAGGAGAGAAGAAAAAACTTAGCAAAGATCATTTGTATTAAACTGTGTTCTGTCTCTTTAAATGTAAAAAAAAATTCCTTTCCAAGGCTATGGAGAGAAAATGCTAGAACCGTGCACGATCATGACTAGAAAGCAGGATCCCTGAGTGGTCACAGAGTCTTTCCAGCACAAGACACACACAGAGAGGCTGGTCTCCTCCATCCTGCATCTATTTAGACAGAAATGCTTCTTCTTCAGAGCAGATAGCAAGTCCAGAGGAAAATCCAGGCTGGAAAAGGGAATGTGGCAGATCCTTGCTTCTGTGTTCAAAGGGAGCAGCAGCAGCACCACCAGCAGCAGCAGCAGCAGCATCTTTGCTAGCCATGGAAACCATGTTTTTAAAGGGATTATTTGGGTGCAGTGTTTTAAGCAAGCCCTTCTGAGGACTCTGACTGCTCTGCAGCGCTTTGTGTTTTTGATTCTCTTTTTTGCACATATGTAATTCTGGAGGTTAAAAAAAAAAATCTGCCAGGGATTCAGAAGGCATCCCACTAGCGATCAGCTGACATTCCTAACTGAAGGCTGCAATGTGTTGCTTATTCATTTTGTACTGTGAGAGCTGCAGGGACTAGCAGAGAGCCAAACTATGCATTTCAAACAGCAGGGCTTGTGCAAAAAGAGGGGTGAAAGAGAGGCAGCCGGCGAAGAAAGAGCACAACTGGACTTTCTCCTTGTTTTCATCCATTTCTGCAGGATCATGTATTCATAAGGGATGAGGTGGGCCACGGGGAGCGCAGGCCTGAGCTGCGGCCTACCCACTCAGTCCAGAATCGGGCCCTCCACTACCGGAACCGAGAACGCTTTGCCACAATCAAATCAGCATCTTTGGTAAGCAGCCACCACACCCCTTGCCCCGCTATCCTTTTTTTTTTCCTCCCCTCCTCGTTCTGATGTGACTGTGTCAGTCTGGGGAAGGGGTCAAGAATTCTCTCCCAACGCCCTCTTTCTCTCTCTCTCTCCTCTCTCTCTCTTTCTCTCTTTTTGTTGGCATAGCAACTAGATATTGAGAGAGAGAGAGGTGTTTTTTTTTATTTAAAGAAAAAAATCTTTTGCAGAATATTTAGAAAATATCTCTTAGCAATTTGGGATTTATTTGCAGCAGGTTGAAATTTAAACGTGGCTTTTGGAAGGAAGAGGTGCTTTTCTTTCTTTTCTTTTTTTCCCTCTGATTGGTTTGTTCCAAATTGCATCCATTTTTGTTGAGTATAATTTCTGTCTGTCTGGGAGGAGGAAGAGGAGGAGGAGGGGTGGGGGGGGGAACGACGGAGTGACTGGAGATATTGATGATTATAATTTTAATGAGTGCTGATGGTTTGACCAGTGGAAGGAACCACTGCCGCCTCTCATGGCGAATTGCTTAGCTGTTTGCATTCATTCATTCTCATTCATTCATTTTACGGCTAACTGCATTGTTCCCATTTGACACTATAAAGGACCGGGCAACTCCTATAAAATGACAGAGGGCTGGGTTTTTCCCCCCTCTTCCCTTCTTTCTTTTTTACTGGAGGGTGCGAGAAAAAGCAGGCAAGAGGAGATGGTGGCGGTGGTTCAGCCAGCATTTGTACTATTGCAAATGTGATTGCTAGTGATGTCTTTGTAGTAGCGAAAGGGGTGTGTGCTTGTAGAGAGTGAGGTCTCTGCCTCCTCCCCCATCCTTTCCTTTTCACACACACACACACACACACACACACACACACACCCTCTCTCCCTCTAACACACACACACACAGCTGGAAATTGGCAGCAGTATCCCAAGAGTGGATGGAGGAGGGGTTGTGATGCTTCGCAAACCAGAAACGATCTCCTACATGTAAAATGATAGAAATATTTGGTATTTCGGCCAAATCAGTATTAGAGGTCACATGGGCAGAGAGATTTACAGGGTGCCCAGCATTTGGCCGTTGCATTTGCTGCCTGCCATTATGACATCATCCTGAGCCAGCCCAGAAATTACAATGGATAACCCTCCCCCCCCCCGCTTTTTTTTTTTTGTCTTGCCTCGTAGCTGAATGATTTTTCTCCTTTGCCATTTCCCTGAGTCCTCTCCATAGCACATCCGCCCGCCCGCCCCCCACGCTCCCCCTCGCTCCGATCTTCAGGACACATCAAAAGAGCTTCTTGTTAGCCCTAGACAATGGTGGTTTGAGAACGAATTTGCAGTGGTAGAGGCTTCATATATCCCCCACCCCTTGTGCTGAAGCAGTCGAGTTTGAATTATTGCTTGTGCTCACTGCTGGCGTGGATCTCGGGAGGGGTGTGTGTGTGTGTGCATGTGTGTGTGTGGTTCCCCCACCCCCAGTGTGGCAAGGGAAACTGCTCCCTCTGGAACTTACAGGTTGACCCGATTGTACGGGCATGGAAGGATGGTCTTCAGGGTGGCAACATGCCTCACGCCTCATCCAAGCGGAGGCCTTGGGTGTTCTCTCCTTTGGTAGCGAATCTTGTGGCATCTCATTATACCAGTACACCCCTTGCCTTGTAGAAATGGATACAGTCCTGTTGTAAGTTAGCGCAGTCATTCAGTTCCCTCATTCTCAAACTCTTGCTAAAATACTACTCAGTCCAAAGCGTGACTCTTGGGGGCGGAGGGAATTCTGACGCTAGCGGTATATCAGCATCTCACGAATTTCACTTTTGCATATCCGTGTCTAAAATGTGGCGGGTGTCAAGACTGACAACCCCAAATGCAACAGCCCCCAAATCTCCCAAGATAACACCAGGGAAAGTTGGCAGTTGCCGAAATACGTTTTGCCAGCGTTCGCTCGTATAGGTCCTCAATGTGGGGGGGCGCAGACCTATTTTGGAAATTCACAACACCCATTTGTTCACAAGTGAGTGTTGGCATTCGCCGAATATTGCCCCCTCCCATTGTAGCTCATAAATGGTCAAGAACCACACTAATCATTAAGCAGTAGTTACAACCCCTGGGAGACCTGGAGGAGCGTTACTATGACCCATGGTACCTGTCTGCCAAGAGGGGTAAGGGAATAGTATGATACACAGAACCAGCTACCACTTGTGTTTTCCCTCTGGCTCCTTCTGAACCTGCCATCGGTGTATCCAGTTATCACCACTGGTAAACTTACAACGCCCCCCTCCCTTTTACTCCTTGAAAGTAAAGGCATGGCCAAGGAAAATGAAATCTCACCAGTATTCTTTCCCCCTCATTCTTGCCACCAGTGGTGTTTTAAATGCATGCCAAAGTTGTACCTGCTACAAAATGTTCCAGCGTATTCTCACCATCTAACAGGAGTGCTCTTGTTCAGGATTGGCCATTTAATCTGCCATGCCCACTTCCAGAACATTATAAGCTGCAAGGGAATGAAACAAGCTGTTTTGTACACCACCACTCCAGGTTTCCCCTTCCCTTCCTCTCCACCCTGCTTTTGACACTCAACAGTCCATGGTTCCTGGAGAACACTTGAGTATTGTCAGTCCCAACTGGGGTGCTATTTGGGAATTGGGGGTTACCCGTTTTGTTTTTAGGGTTGCATCCAATAGTAGCCTTACTCTGAGCAGACCCATTGAAATTAATGGATATGACTAACTCAGGCCCATTAATTTCTGTACTTTGAGTAACCCTAAGTTGGATACAACCCTCAATGCTTTGGAGATACTTCTAGGTTCCCCCCACCAATACCCTACATGTTGGTACCACCCTCTCAGTTCTCAATAGCCACCTTTTGTCTCCCAGTCCTGTCAGCACTCATCGACTGAGTTTGCTGTTAAAGGTGAGGGGAGTATAAACTAGCCAGGAAAGCACAAATAAACCTGAGTTGGGAGAAACAAAGGAAAATGCCACATCTCCACTTAAGAACAGAAGAAGAGCCTGCTGGATCAGGCCAGTGGCTCATCTTGTCCAACATCCTGTTCTCACAGTTGCCAAACAGATGGCGCTTCGGAAACCCACAAGCAGGACCCAAGCACAAGAGCAGTTTCCCCTCCTGTGGTTTCCAGCAACTGGCGTTCAGAAGCATTGCTGCCTCATACCATGGAGGCAAAGCATAGTCATCATGGCTAGCAGCCCTTGGTAGCCTTCTTCTCCATGACTTTACCCAATCCTCTCTTAAAGCCACCCAGGTTGGTGGCCATCACTGCCTCCAGTGGGAGTGAGTCTTAACTATGTGCTAGTGAAAAATACTCTTCTTTCACCTGTCCTGAGTCTTCAACATTCAGCTTCATTAGAAGTCCACAAGTTCTAGTGTTAGGAGAGAAGAGAAAAACTTTTCTCTGCCCACTTTCTCCGTGCCATGCATAGTTTTATAAACTTCCATCATGTCACCTCTTTCTTGCTTTTCATCTGTGCTAAAAACCCCCCTGCAAATTCCCACTCTGAGAACCAATAACCCAGTCCAGTAGCCATCGCCTTCCCAAGCGCCAGGGACTGGCATGATGCTGACAAGTGTGCACTGTGGGGAGTGGGGCTGGAGTCTGACTCAGGAGAGCAGGGGATGTGGTCTGCGGGGTCCTGTACCAGCCAGGAGGCAAGAATCAGAGGCAGGAGGTGGAAGAGGCAAGCTAGGCAAGTGAAGTGCCGGGTGCTTTCCCTGCACCACAGTCTCCAAGAACCAGGAGATAATTGAAGCAGGAAGAGCAGAAGCAGCTTCCATGCAGGCATAGTCTCTGGCTACATACACACAGCCCACAGAGTGAAGGTACATCAACTGGTGGAGAAGGAGTGGTCTCCAGTTGTTGCAACTGCTCCTTAAAACACATTCCTGGGAATAGCTACCCAGGTCTCCAGAGCTGTAGACGCAAGTGTTATGTTTGACCATGAAGAGTTAACTCTCTGTGGTGTGCATTCCTTGGCTGGGAAGTGCCCTTGACACCAAGGTTTCCTATTGGAGGCTCCCTCCCTGAGATTGAGTCTTGGCAAATGCAATATAACATGCAAACACTGTTTTTATCTAGCTGCACTATGTGGCTCCTTCTCCTCCGCGGAGCCCTCTTTTGTCGTGCATGTCCTGCACCAGATAGAGCAGGTGTGCGGAACCTTGGGCCCTACAGGTGTTGCTAAACTACAGCTCCCATCAGCCACAGCAAGCATGGCCAATGGCCAAGCATGATGGGAGTTGCAATTCAGCAACTTCTGGAGCACCAAAGGTGCCCCACACCTGAGACAGAGCTTTTGACCATTGACCATTGAAATTAGAGCTCTTAACTAATTTCCATTTATAACCTGCCATATCCTAAAACCATGGAGCAACTTGCAAATGTTTTAACACTGCCTTCTCTTTAGATTATGCCACCCCTTTCTTATCCTCCCTGCTGTTATCTCATTCCTTTAACTTGGTGTGTAGGTGTGTGTGTGTGTGTGTGTGTGTGTGTGTGTGTTTTAACATATATAAAAAAAATTGGAAATGGTGTCACAGACATGAAGAGATCCCCACCGTTTTGAATACAAACTGAGGTTTCCTGACTTGTCATTAGCTAGTAGAGAAATGGGGGGGGGGAGAGATCTAGTAGTAGTATATGAACATTTTAACATTTGTATTCATGTCATCAGTGCAAATGCATCTTAAATATAAAGACAGGCAAGCAGCAGCATGTCTTCAGTCTACAGCGCTGGATTCTATCCAGGCTACCTGCTTAGAAGCTAACTGCCCAATGATGACACACAGATACCCCTCAGAGCACATTGGCCAGGTAGAATCTGCTGTATACACACTGGGCAAAGGACCTGCCAGCTGCTTCTCTCCCCCTCTAGTTGCAGGGTTACCTGAGAGGCCTCTCTCATTGCCAATGAGAGGGTTGTCAGTTGGCCATGCAAGATACGAAGCTGCCCCTGCATGGCATGATGAGGTTGTGTTGGGACCTCAATGTCGCCCA